AAATAAAATAAAAAGCATAACAGCTAATTGATAAACAGCATGACCAAGAATATTTTTCATCATTTGTCGAGATATTAATGGTCGTGTTCGTCCGTATGGTTTACGTGTTAATAATTCTTCTGTTGGAACTTCTGTTGCAAGTGCTAATGATGCTAATGTATCCATAATTAAATTAACCCATAACATTTGTACAGCACGTAAAGGAGATTCTTTGACAATACATGCGCCAATAAAAGCACAAAATACAGCAACAACATTAACAGTTAATTGAAATTGAAGAAATTTGGCAATTGAATCATAAACATTACGTCCCCACATAACTGCTTTGACAATTGAATTAAAATTATCATCAACGAGTATGATATCTGAAGCTTCTTTTGCGACATCAGTACCTTGTATACCCTATATTTAATTGAAAAGAAATGATTCACATTAGTTTTAATGATATATTCAATAACAAAATATTTATTTGATCTAAATCTTTGAAAATAATTAGACGTATTATTAAGCAAGATATCAGACTAATCGCTTGCTCTCGTGTCTACAAATCATCAATCTATATTTTATTTAAAGATTTTCTTAGTCTAGGTCAGTCACTACTCGTAATTAACATCTACATTTGAATAATATCATACAAATAGAAACATTTTTATGTAAATTCAAATTTATCTACTGATTGAATTTTTTTAACATAATAATTTTTATAGAAATAGATAACTAACCATAGCAAAACCGACGTCAGCTTTTTTCAAAGCAGGTCCATCATTTGTACCATCACCCGTTACAGCAACAACTTCACGTGTTGGATTATTTTTCGATGCAATTATACCTTTTACAAGTACATATTTATCTTGTGGAGATGAACGAGCTAATACACGTAATTGTGGCCAAATTTTATCAAATAAACTTTGTTCAACCTAGATTAAAAATTTTCATTTAAATAACAAAAAACAAGAGCAAAACTTATTATCTACCTCTCCATCTGGTGTTGATCTTATACGTCGATTAAATTCTTTTCCTTCAAGTACTAAGAAATTATCATTTGGTGATATAATTCCACATTTAAGCGCAATTGATCGTGCAGTATTTACATTATCACCTGTAACCATTCGTACTGTTATGCCAGCACTTCGACATTTAGCGATAGCATCTGGTACTTCTGCTCGGACAGGATCTTCAATACCACATATACAAATACATGTTAATTGATCAACAACGTTTGCTTCATTATCCCAATCGGGTAAATTATTTGCTGAAAAATCTCGATATGCAACACATATTGTACGTAAACCATCACATGCCATTGGTTCAATAACTGTTTGAATAATACGATCATAATCAACAGTTGAAAATGGTACAACTTCACCATTACGATTTAATATTGTTTTACATTTTTTTAAAACAATTTCAGATGCACCTTTTGTATACATTCGTATAATTGAATCTGGTCGGTGAATAACAGTTGACATATTTTTTCGTACAGAATTAAATGTATAAACATGAACAAATTTTTCTTCAGGATATTGTTCACGTATTTCACCATAATTACCACCTAGACCAAGAACAAAACCTAATAGACCACATTCCGTTTTATTACCGACTTGTTTTGGTAATGTTTCTTTTTCTGGTGGAGGCTAAAAAGACAAAAAACAAGTTTGATTTTTATTTAAAAATAATATTATTTACAAGTAATTTCGATGCATAACTACTATTCACAGATATTCCTTCAAGTATAACTTCTCTAGTTTTAGCTGGTACAGTAATTTCTTTAGCTTTAACTGGATCTTGAACATTTTTCCAATGTTTTTCACCAACATAAACTTGTACAACAGTCATACGATTTGTTGTTAATGTTCCTGTTTTATCTGAACAAATTGCTGTTGCATTACCCATTGTTTCACATGCATCCAAATGACGTACTAAATTATTATCTATCATCATTTTCTAAATGAAATTTTTTATAGAAAAATAAGACTTTCGAATTTTATATAACTTACTTTAACTGCATAAGCTAATGAAATTGTTACTGCTAATGGTAAACCCTCAGGTACAGCAACAACTAATACAGTTATACCTGTAATTAAATAACGTACGAATCGACTCCAATATTTATTATTCCAACGTTCACCTCTGATATATTAGAAAATAAGATAATATTATGATTATTATTGTTTGATCTTACTTTTGAAGAAATTCTTCTATTGAAAATCGTAAGAGTAAAACAAGTACAGTTAAAATAGCAATTGTCATGCCTAAAAATAAAATTTCCATAATAAAAAAAAATCAAATATCAATGAATAGTATTAGTAGTTCGTTTCTATTTTAAGATATCTATTATACTTTGTATAATTATACTTGACAAGCATGAAAGAATGAATGATGCTAATGGAAATGTTGATCACGCAAGCTTTGTCGAATTAAAGTATAGAACACAATCTAATTGAAAGAGATCTTTGATAAAGTAATTCAGAATCTTTACTATAATTATTCTTTATTATATTTAACTCGACAGGAAAAAATTATTATTGTAGGATCTACTAATTAAGTTATGTCTCTTGTAGTTTGTTAAAGGAAGGATAATCTAGAAATGTTGCCGTAGGCTTTTAATCTTCTTTTACTTTATATATTCGAAAAAAAAAA